ATTTCCCGTGATGCCAGCATTTGCGATGACTATTAATAAATCATACGGACAAACTCTAGACAGACTAGGAATATTCCTACCTGAATATTCCTAGTCTGTCAGACATGGTCAATTATATGATGCTTTCTCTTGAGTTCGAATAGCGTGTCACGTTAAAGTTGTAAATACTTCACCACAAGGGAAATAAGCACTCTCAAAGCGTTTTTACTCTTAATGTGGTATTCAGGGAAATATTAGAATAAGTTTAATCAATTTATCAGTCATTGTTTGTATCAGTGCTTTTATATCATGTTTTTATATCATATTTTTGTTTTTAATATCATGTCTTTGTTCTTATATAATGTTATTTATTTACTAATCAATTTATATATATTTTTCATATACATTTTACTCATTTTCTTTCATCTCTGACACTTCTATTATGGAGAAGGGCGAATAGCGATATTAAAATATTTCTTCTAATTAATTTCTTGTAGTGTGCACGAATCCGTGCACCAGGCCACTCGTGCATTTATAAACATCTTGCTCAACACAGACACTCTCCTGCACTGAGAACAAAGCCGTCATAGTTGCTGCAACTTTGAAGTGAGAATTTTCATATCCTTGCTCATCAGGACTAGAGAGAAGCACGTAGTGACAAATGCAAAATGCCCGTCCTGCCAGTTAAATACATGTGCCTGCCGTGAAGAGGAGGGAGGCAGGCGTTAGAGTGGGCAAAGCTGGATAACAGGCAGGTGAGAAGTTCTGCTTTCTGGTCCCACATCTGGGACGGGATTGAGGAACCCAAGGGACTTTCGTCTCTGAGGTGGACAGGCCTCTCTGTGACACCCAGCCTGCCTGCGGCTCAGCTGGGAGGAACTACAGGAGGCCTGTGATTTTAAAGTTGGTCAGCTGAGAAATGCAGCTCTGTTTTTTATTAAGGCAGGCTCTGGCAAAGGATGGTTCCCTGGGGAGATGGGCCCTTGTAGCTGACTTTGCCAGAAGCGTGGTGATAAAGGGAAGCAATACTGATGTCATCATCCGTACCTCACTCGGTGCCCCTACGGTGAACTCTTCATTCCACAGCCTGGAAAACAGCCATGCCATTTCCGCGATGTATGTGCCTCCATAGCCCAGGAATCAGAAAAGCTGTGCAGCCCTGTCCGTGGCAGGGATCAAAAACACATGGGTAGCTTTCTTTTTTTTGTTTTGTTAATCCTCACTCGAGGATATTTTTTCCTTTGATTTTTAGAGAGAGTGGAAGGGAGGGGGAGAGACAGAGAGAGAAACATCGATGTGAGAGAGACACATCAATTGGTTGCTTCCTGCAGGCACCCCGACCAGGGCCAGGGATCGAGCCTGCAACCAAGTTACGTGCCCTTGACTGGAATCGAACCTGGGACCCTTCAGTCTGCATGCCGACACTAACACTGACCCAAACCGGCCAGGGCGGGCATTGCTTTCTTACTTGTACAGGACAAGCCCAGTGTAAATTCTGTACCCCCCAGGGAGGCGAGGAGCTGGGGCCCTGCAGATGGGATGTGAGCCCCAGGAGGAAACGCTTTCTATGCCCTAAGTGACCACAGTCTGATGGGCTGTCTTGACCTGCTGTGGGGTCGACACCAACCCTCAGCCCCTGGCATTGGTGGTGGGCACTGACTTCCCTCCCGCCTGTTTTGGGACAGATAACGAGGCACCGTCACTGCTCCC